TATATATATATATATACGTGTGTATATATATGTGCATATTAAAAAGCACCTATTTACGTAAATGTCAAACGATGCGATGTAGAGAACAATTGCGTTTCACATATCCGCCATTACTACACGAGAATCTTTAGATGATAGACTCTCTGTAGAAATTTGTTATCAACATAGAATCTCTCCAATTATTCTTGTTGCGTATCGTTTAAGCACTTTGTTGCAAGATTTGCGAAATACAGAAAGCTCTACACTCATCCAAATCCTCTCGTTTTAGAGAATTTTTATGTAATCATTCCGCATTCACAATTGGAAGAACATTCCTGTTGTATTTTCAGAAGCTAATAATAACGAAAGACCAAATAAAAAAAGAAAAAAATTGGAATGATGATCGATTATAATCGTGCAATAGTGTACGACGGTAGAATGATCTAGAGGATTGTGTGTGCGACTCACCGCATTTCTAAATGTTGTTCCAATTGTGTACTGTTTCATACGTTCATTGGTTTCGCTTTCTACTTTTTGGCTTTTCTAAAATATGATAAATGCAATATGATCGAATACAATAGGAACGACGGATGGAATTTCGTATGATGTGGAGTGAGGGCGCACATCTTCTCGAATCATTGGCTTATGCTTTACGAGATGATCGTCCGTCACTCGAAAATGATAACGATGAATAATGTTCTCTACGTAATCAAGTAAAACATTGCTCGTGTCGTTTAATGATTAATTGAAATAATATTTCAAACAGATGAATCGATGAGAAAAGAAAGATTGTTTCGAGAAGAAAAATTAATGTTATAAAATGGAATATAAGGAATATTGTTAAAGGGAAGTAAAGTGATGGAAGATGATAAACGCGTATTTTTTTATTGCTAACAGAATATTCTCTATCAATTTCATCGGGACATGTTCGAAAGGATGAAGCAATGATAATAACAAATTAACAGACTTATATACAATACACGTCTTGATTTAAAAAACTTAATAACTCACACAATTCATAATATAAATATTCGCAACATTATCAGATGTCCATCATAGATTTAAAATTTTATTACGACATAAGACAGTAATATTTTATTTGTCAACATTGTAAAAATTTTTACACAATTTATTCGCTTAAAATTCTTGCGTTCAAATATCCATATTATTTTAAAATTCTGGTATACGATATTGCAATAGCAAAATTTCCCAATGAACACTTACTTTTTCTTGAGAGTGAAGAAACTACGCCGCTTAGTTTCGGCTTGTGTCGGGGCTGGCAAGGTATGAGCCCTAGATGTGCTTGCACCTGATGTTCCTTGTGCCGCTTGATTTAATGCGGATACCCAGTCGTTCATTTCGGTATCGTCTTTGGCCTGGAACAGGAAGTCGGATCCGCTTTGCGACCTATAAAAAAAAGACACTTTACAATGATATCTACATCAATATCGCAGAACGCGTAAATATATGTATAATAATAATATCGAGCACTGACTTGACTCGGAAGACATGTTTCTTCTTAGTGTAATCACTCGCTACAGTAATAGTCGCGCCTCTTAGATCAAGAGGAGCTTCTCCTTTGTACGATTGATCGGGCGAAGCTTTGTACGACTTCTGATCTTTATATACAAATAAGCTCTGCCCGCGTACGACCATGTATACTTTGTCCCAGGAGCGATTGGATGCCTTCTTCGTCGTACTTTCCCACTCGTGCTTCCGCTGTAACGGTCCTTCGAATTCGTCGTCGCTTGGACTTCGTGGCTCTGGAAAAGATAACGGATTTTACTATCCATCGCTTAATAAGGAGCAATTTACTATTTCGGATAAATTATGAATTGTTTATACGAGGAAAACCACCTGCATCTCTTGCTTCGAGTAGATGATGAAGCTGCAAATAATTAGTGATATTATTTTGAAGGATTAGTCGCAACATTTATTTAATAGAATATCCAATATAACAATTCTCTCTCGAACCAATTTTTTTCCATTATTCTAATTTAAAGAATGCATTTATTTAACGTTTAAATTTTCCAACTAACATATTTATGCTTATAATAGCACTTGGACAAAAACAAGCCCCGATTACTCATTCCTTTATTTGTTAGACTTAACATGTGATAGGATATAATTTTCCAAGAGTGTTTCCCCATTATACATACAACATATAATCACTGTGTGTATGTAACTCTTCTTGAATATACAGCAGGTAATAAAGTGATTGTTAAAAACCTACATAACCAAAACATAGTTGATTAGTAAAGAGATTAAATGCCAATTTCATTTAATCTCAACTTCCACCTAAATAACACTTTGACAGTAATTTAGAATTCCGCGAACATGAATTAAAACCATAATAGTTCTCGATTTTTTTTGAGTAATGACATTTATTTTCAAATGTTAATCATTCATGTCTGGATCATCTGTTTTTATACTTCGTGCTGTAAATATACACATGTAAAGCAAAATTGAAATATAATCACACGAGTGACAAAAATGTGTAACAAAAAAGAAAAAAAAAGAAATTTGACGTCCAATGAGCAAACGTATAAGTGTAATTACTGTCGATTATTTAAGTCTCTTTTTTCCATTCACTTACCAGGAATACTGTGCTCATCATCACTCACGCCACTGCGATCTAAACTTGGCGACTTGGCGGACTTTCTCCAGCGGAAGCTCCTGAACGGTGACTTGCTGCGGCTTCGTTCCTTACGCCTTGCAGCCTCGGAACCACTTCCTTTCGGAGCTTTACGATGTACGCAACACACATAACGTTCATTAGCTTACTTACTTTGTACCCTAGCTTGTAGCAGAGATTTGTATCAGGTAAACAATTTGCTGCTAATAGTCCTTACATCCACGTGTTACACGTTACTTTTTTTTTCATGCTTTCTAACTACAGAGAATATACGATAATACGAAAATACACACATGCAACATGCTCATGCATAAGATGCCAAATGAGCAATGCACGCTTATCAAACTGTAACAAGTAGGAGATACATTTCGTGTGTTTATCGCATCACATTAACAGCTACGTTAATTAAAAAAATATTTATATATTATATTTATGTATAAATATAAATATTTTTATTTATAATTATACATATACATAATATATATTTTATAAATTTATATTTATATAAATATTTATTATATATATTTCAATAGTTTTCAAAAGTTTTTTTAAACGAAAAATCAAAGTATGCTTATTTTTTTAATTTTGCCACTGAATGAAGTCTGACGAGAAATAAAAATCAAATCGATCGTAAAAAGTTTTGTGCATGGCGATTTTATGCGCCATGGTTTTATGTATCCGCGATCAAGATGATTTGCGGCTTAGGAGCGTGGAATACTTAATCTTGAAGAATTGATATTATTATTTAAGTGTAAAAAATTACACGAGATGAACTCTTGTTGTGCAAAAAACTTAGAAACGCCGCGCCCACCGCAACTAATACCAGCAGTGTTACGACCCGCACCACCTTGGTCGGCTGTCGCAATAATCGATCTGAAGATGCAGGAACTGTCGTCACAGCATTTTGCGGGGAAATATCTGATACTTCTCTTCTATTCATGCGACTTCTCATTTATGTGCCCCACCGAACTTATCCAATTTAGCGATCGTATTGCCGAATTTCGAACTCTTGGTACAAAGTTACTTGGTTAAAGTTTTTCTTCCCCATTTAATGACAGTATAAATAAAATTTTCAATAATGAAATCAATAAAGAATAATTCGTCAAACAATCAAAATTTTATAAAGAAAAGAAGTTATTTTCAAATTGTTTTGTTTCGAGATTTTATACTTATGTGATAACATTTTCTTATCATTAATTCCTGCGTTTTATACTAGGCTCAGAGGTAGTAGCAGTCTCAACAGATTCTGAATTCTCGCACTTCGCGTGGGTGACGACCCCGCGTAAACAAGGAGGCTTGGGCGAAATGAAGATTCCACTGCTCTCCGATAAGAATCATCAAATAGCGCGGGATTACGGTGTATTAAACGAGAAACAAGGGTATGCATACAGAGCTCTATTCGTTATAGATAGACAGCAAATTATACGCCACGTGACGATAAACGATCAAGATCTACCGCGATCAGTGGATGAGGTATTGCGAGTTATAAAAGCTTGTTGTTTTGTGGATAAAAATGGCAGTCTGTGTCCTTATGGACCAGTACCGGCGAATAATGCCTTCGGAGAAGAACCAGACTATTTCAGCACGACTTGATCTCGACTTGTGTGTCAATTTTTATATTCCTCAATCGTTTATTATATGGTTTACATCAAAGTGAATGATCATTCAAGATTTTAATTGAACTAAAACAATCACTCATGGTAATATCGTGGCAGCTAATGGCAGGAAATATTAATAAATGATCTTTCAACATATGTGGCTTGAGATTTGAATATTTGCGAACACTTACTTGTTGGCGTGCGAGTACTATGCGGTGGAGTTTTCACAGATGTTGGCGTGACAGGTTGAGTCCCATCTCCTTCCCGGAAAGACAACTGTCTAGGTCTTTGTGCATGCACTACACCACACCAATCACAAAATCATGCTATGTATTATTTGGATAATACATCATTAAATACGTGATATATATTCGTCACGGTTATACCAATAACAATTACTCGATTGCTGTGATGATTAGCGTAAAAGCATAAGTCGATGAGTTAATCACGAATCCAATGATTCTTCGTAGTGGTATGACCGTCCGAATATTCAAGTAAATCCTATACGACACGTACATAAAGGACAGAACCCAATTTCTTGCTTCTATAGACTTAGAATAATGAGATGATTTCGAACGTGCTTATCTTGCAATAAGATATTTAAGCATTATATTTTAACGTAATCATGCGATAGACGAGAACGAAATATAGTATAGTTAACAAATGTACCTACCAGAATGAAATGGTTCACAATGGATTAGTATGACCAGAAATTGTGACTATTAGAAATTCGCTTGATATTTCATCATATCAAAGCGAATATTATATGTGATTTTACACATGTGCATATTAAATATCAAAAATGTTTGATAAATGATTTTCTCGTGACATAATTGATATCAGGCGACAGAAGAGACATCTTGGGCAGAATAACGGGCCATCACCTGCTAGAGAAAAAGTTAATAAAATGGTGATTTATGCGAAAGCGATAGGTGCGACGTGGCTACGAATATGCTGGAAAATGTAAGATTATTGCGATGTGTGACTTAACGCTAACATGAAATCTGAAGAACAAAGCTATCGTTAAATACTGCTATGAAGACGTGATTTGATCATCCATCACCAGTTTGTGAAATTATGTGAACCTATACACAAGATATGATCCACTTGTAGCTTCGAAAGAGTTGCGGAAGAATTAGAAAGATATTCTCAATGTAGAAGTCTATTCTCACGTTTTGACAAGTTTCATATCGCATAACACTCACCTTCCTTGGGTTTATCTTGAGGCTGTGGTGTACGTGTAGAAGCCTTGCGATGTGCCGCTGTGGTTCGTGCATTCCGTGCCGCATTAGGGTGCATTTCGGGTTGGATAAAATGAGATGACATGGAAGACGGATTCGATATGGATCGGAATAAATTTCGGCGGGTTTGGGTGGGAAAAGGCAAAAATAAACGTGCTGTTAGCGATATCACATGCTTATCCAGACAAACCATATTCATAATACGTAAATCATCAGAGTTGAATTTTATGTCAAAAGCAAGATTTTACTCTACACGCGATTATTAGTCATGAGAAGAGATGAAACGTTACTCTTGTTCCGCTTTTTCTCTTTCAGTTTACAATATTATTACCAATCGCAATCATTACCACGCCAAATCAATAGTCAAACTCGAAAATACAATTCTATTAGAAAAAAGCACTCAACATTATATTCTAAACAATGTGCGTGTTATATATCGGTTATTCTATATCAGCATCTTCAAATAGAATACAAAACCGTAGACAGAATTAGAAGATTCGGTAAATACCGAGAAAAGTTGATTCGATTAGTAAAACCCAAAACATATCCATTATATGCAATTATATTACCGTGTCCTTCATCTTCTCCACGTTCTCCACTTGTTGCCCCGTCAGTTTCAGCTCTGTAATAAACAATTCATTCATCATGTGTAACATTGTGACACAGATTACAAAAATATTTGTATTACCTATCGCTAGGTGGTTCATCTGGACTAGTAACAGGTGTTGCCTTGGCCAAACGTGCAGCCTCTGCCGCTGCCGCCTCCTCCTTTCTGCGTCTTTCTTCTTCCTCCCTTTCTTGCTCTCGTCGCTTTAACTCTTTCAATTCGAACTGCATTAAAATATGAAGATTGTTTATTTCTATATGTTAAATCATGTTCTATACCTTATAAATTGTATTAATTTCTGACATAATGGAAATTTTATTGTGGAAGATTACTTATTTAAAAAAATATACGACACAGACGACAACAACAGAAAGTATTCTACAAGCTTTTCTATCTAGTCAGAGATTTTTCATAACTACTTACAGTAGTAAGTCGATGCAAGGCACTAAACCTTTCTTCTTGTGCAGCTGCCGATTTTTCGAAAGCTTCGTGTTTCTTGATTAAATTCTCAACTTCGTCGATAGTATGCTGTAAAGAATATAAGTTAAAAAAATATATATTCAATTAAAAATTTGTGTTTGCAATTTAATTACTTACACCAAGCTCCTGACTCATAAGATATGGCTCTTGAGCAATTAACCATGCTTCAGCAACTGCCGCATCTCGAGCAAATTGGTAAACTTCCAAAACTATAGCAAACGTAAGTAAGTAAATATTAAATATATCATACAGACAATATATCATACAAGTATGCAAGAACGCATTTTTTTAAATAGCAAATGCAACTTACTGAGTTGCAAGTTCTCCCAACGTTCCTCCCATCGGTGCAACAATGCGTTTCTGTGATCCGTTAATGCCGCCAATTTCTCCTTTATCTGCGCGCTAGCATAATGATTCCTAGCTAAGAGATCTTTTCCGAGATTAATGCACGCCATTAGATTATCCTCCCTAGCATCAATCTCTGCCTTCAAGCTCTGATGATTATTCATCAGCAATTCAACGCCGGCGACGTCACGCGGTTTTTCAGATGTGTTCATCTGGCGCACAACGTCATCCATCCAGATCATCAGAGTTCTGACCATATTGAAGAATCGGAAGAGATCGCCGGTATCTTCCAATTTAGCTCGTCTGCCTTCGCATAACGATTGCAAATTGTTCCATGCTGCTACGACCTCGGCCTCACGATTTGTAATCTCACGCGCTTTGTCGCCTGCGTAGCTTGCCTGCAGTTTAGCGGATTCTTCCTCGATCTGCGATACTTGATTCTGCAACGTGGACAGATCCTGAATAAAGTTGGCGTGTTTACGTTGGAGGGCGGACACCGAACCGGCATCACGACCCAATTCGTCGGACATGGCGTTTTGTTTCTCTAAGATTCTGCCGAGAACGTCCTTGCAATCATGGAAGAATTTGTGCAACTCGCGACTGGCCACCAGCATCTGTGTGCGGGTCTCGATCAGTTCCAGCAGGTCTTGCCAAACTTCGTTCAAACCATCCTTCCATTCAGCGATCGTTGCTGCATCGGAATGTCCGGTGGCGATAAGAGAATCTGCAATGCCATTGACAGCCTCCACTCGCTCGGAACCAATTGCTTCTGTATCGCGCGCAAACTCCTTGAATCTCTCCCACAATAGCGTCACATGGTCGTAATCCTGACCCAACTCGTGACTACCAGCGACCAGTTCTCTCTCCTGGATCCATTGTTCGAGATCATCGACTTCTCGATTTAGCATGAACAACTGGAGTGCCTCATCCAGTTTGGCTCGTCGTTCACCAGCCAGATCTTTCAAACCGGCGTACAGTTTGTCTACCTGCGATTGTTTCACGGCGATCTGATCAGCCAACGGGTGTTGATCATTTATTAATTGCCTAGCGGTCTCGCCTAGTTGGCGAATCGTCTCCGCGTAATCTTCAACCGCATGTTCAAGCGATTCATGCTTCTTCATCAAATTTTGGGCAGAGATTTCATCCTTACCACGATCTTCGACCATCATGTACAGCTCTTGCTCGCTCATCCACGACTCAGCCTCAGTGGCATCGAAGAAGTACTGCTGCGCCTTCTCGTTCTGCAACAGATGCTTATTTCTATCATCGACCGCATCTTTCAACTCGCGCCACTTCTCCGTCAATTCGGATATTAGTTTCTGGAACTCGGGACTGTCTTCGTGTCCTTCATCAATCAGCTTCTGCCCGTTATTACATACCAAATTGATTCTGGGTTCGTGATTTTCAATTTCCGTGCGCAATGACTGATTCTTCTTCTTTAACATGTGAACGTTAAACAATGAAGTTCCGTACTCAGTGCTAGTTGCTTGCGGCATCTTCTCTGCGATCCACAGCTTCTCATCCTCGACGTCGCGTCGGAATTGGAAGGCCTCTTTCTTCTTCTCGAGATGTCGTTGACGATCGATGAGCGGTGCCTTGAGCTGAGCGAATCTCTGGGCGACTTTCTCCTTTTTGCACTTAATCTCCTCCATTTTGTCATCGGGTACTGTACGTTGCAAATGTTCCGCCTGTTTGTCCAATTCAGTAACCTGTTTCGCTTTCACCGCCATTTGAGTCTCGATCATCTGTTGCTTCTGCATCAATATATTCACGGACGCTAGGTCAGAACCGGTGTCGGTACTCTCTATCTGCTTTTCTAATTCGTTCATCCACGAATCGATATCATCACAGGTCTGATGTATCAAGACCTCGCGATTCGAATCGAACAATCGTTCACCCTTATCGTGAGTTGTGGTCTCCAGCTCGACAAATTGTTCCGCCAATTCGGCGACCTTCGGTTTAATAATCTCCGCTAGATCCGGTTTTTGTTGAATCAATTCGTCCGCGGCTTGCTGCAATTGCTGCAAGCGATCTTTGTTGCTGGCGATTTCCGCTTCGAACGCTTGGTGACGAGTCCACTTGCTATGAATAGTCTTCGCGCTTCTGTATGTTTCGTCTTGAGCAGTGATATGTTTCTCCTGTACCCATTCACCGAGTTCCTCACAATCTTGTAGGAACATCTGTAACTGAAGCTGATCCTTGAGTTTCTCCATAAGTAGATTCGCCTTCTCGCGATTAATTCGTCGACGCTCGTTGATGTTTTCGGCCTTCTTCTTCACCTTATCGGCCGCAAAGTGTCCTTCATCGACCAAACGTCCGGCAAACTGTACAACCGAGTTGATTTTCTCATCGTTGGCATCCATGGTAGTCATAAAAGCCTCGTGTCGTTTAATCATATGTTCCGCTTGTTCGAAATTTGCCGGCGTTTCATCCTTGGCAAGAATGTGTTCCTGTTGTGATAAGAGTACCTCTGCTTGACGCGCATCTCGATCGAATACTTGTAAATTCAAGGAGTTGGATAGTAAGTTCTGACGATTCACCCACATCTGATGCAATTCCTCCCAGCCCATCTTCAACGCGTTTAGTCTCTCACGCAGGAACATGTACTGCGTGTCACCATCACCAGCCTCTGTCGTTAATCGCTCGCCATATTCCATCATCTTTTGGTAGTCATCAGTGTAATTGTCAATCTCTTCCTTAATGTTCTGATGCTGTGTAAGCAGTTTCTCGGCATCGGCAAGACTGGTCGGCGTATCCTCGCTGGCAACGTCGGTCTGCGTTTTCGTGAGCCACGCCTGGAAATGATCGAGGTCGCGTAAGAACCGGTGCAAATCTCCTGCCTCCTCGAGCTTGGCATCGCGCTCTTTCAACATTTGCGTCAGCTGTTCCCAAATCAGATGAATCTGCGCAATTCTCTCGCGTATCACCGCAGCCTCCTCCGGATGTTCCTTCTGTATGACTTCCGCCTCCTTCTCCAAGGCGTCTAATTTGGCTTGAATAGCCGCCAAATCGCGCTCCATACCGCTCAGTCTACGTTGCAACGTCATTACGCCAGTCAAATCCATTTCCAAACTATCGGTCTGCTGCAGAATTCGTTTTTTGTCTTCGATCCAGGACACAGTCTCGCGACACTCGATATGGAACGTCTGCACACCATGTGCAGAGTTCAATTCCTCGCGTTTGCCCTCCGCCTTCTCGCGCAGCTCGGCCCACTTCTGGTTCAGTTCGTTTTGTCGCGCGATTATCTGTTCCGAGTTCGGATGTTCGACATGCAGTAATTGTCTGGCCAATTGATTAACCACGGCGACGCGGGATGCATTTGCATTCATTTCTTTTTCAAAGCCGTTATAGCGATGTTTCATAATCTCAACATCTTCAATATCCTTGGCAGGCACCATCGTATCCAGCATTCTATTCTTTTCGCCGATCCATTGTTCGACTCCGTCGGTCTCGCTGAATACCTTGTACAATGACAGAGCGTCTAGCAGTCTCTGCTTACGCAACTTGGCTAACTCGAGGAGTTCTTTGTACCTGTTATCTATTGAAGTCAGTCTTTCTAGGACTTCTGGCGATTTTGCGTCCTGTTCACCCAACGTTGATGCCTGCTGATGAAGTTGATCGATAGTAGTGGCATAATTTTTAAGCTCATCTGTTACATCTTTGTGTTTCTTCAACAACGATTGCACATTTGCCTCGTCTCTGCCGACATCCTCTGACGAAACGAGTCGCAAAGTATCCAACATCCAGATGTCAATGTCGTCCGCGTCTGCGAAAAGTTGGTGATAGTCGACAGCTTCTACAAGTCGCTTTCTCCTGAAAGCCGCCAGATCCAACAAATGATTCCACATAGCGAGAATTTCCTGAAGTCTCTCCTGAATACGATCGGAGCCAAAGTGTTGTTGCCGAACTAGCTCGTCACCAACTGCTGCAACTGACATCAACTGCGGTTCGTGTGATTGTATCTCGTTTTCCAATGCTTTGTGCTTGGACAGCAGCAGATTAATGGTAGTCAAGTCGTGACCAATGTCACCCGTGGATACGATCTGTTCCTTCTCCTTTATCCAATTCTCCTCATCAGCCATATCCCAATAGAATTGCCAGAGTTTCCGAGATTCCTCGAGCCTGGTACGACGCTCGATCGCTAACCGCACCAACTCGGCGTACGCGTTCTCCAATTGTTGCACGCGCTCGACGATAATGGCCGGATCGCATGGTCGATAGCCTTCTCCATGCTCTAGGAATCTCTGACTCTGTTGAACAACAGCCTTGACTCTCTCGCCGAGCACATTGATATCCGCTTCGACGAGAGAGTGCTTTTGCAACAGATCCTCCACGCCCATCAAATGTTTGCCGTAATCGTCCGTCAGTAGTCGCATCTTGATTTCCTCCATGCTGTCCAGTATGTACAACATCTCCTGGAAGTTCTGCTGTAGCTGCAAGGAAAGTTCTAACCGCATTCGCCTAGCACGCAGCAATTCCAGAAGATAGTTCCATAATCGTAGCACGTTGTCCTTGCGAGCATTGATACGCTCAATGTCGTGATAGTTCTCCGCCTCAAGCTCTTGTGAAACCGCCATGACGGCTTGTACACGTTCTTCGTAGGCAAAAATGTCAGTCTCGATAGCTTCGTGCTTCTTTGCAGCAGCTTCTACGGCAGCGAGATCAAAGCCGAAGTTATCTTGCGACACTAACCGCTGATTCTCTGACAACCATGTCTCGCGCATGCTAGCTTTTCGGTTAAATCTAGCTGCCAACTGCTCCAACTTTTCTTGTCGAATCAATTCCTCGCGCAAAGCCAATTCTCGTTCGTGTTCAGCCTTCTCCAATCTCTCCCATGCCTTATTGATATCGGATATCATTTTACCCTCTTTGGGCGTATAGGGCTTCTGATTGTTTGCGCGCATCTTCGATTGTAGAGTAAACAATAATACTTCGAGATTACCCTTTTCTACAAATTTGGGTGGTTTCTCTACTGTGCGATAATTCGAGAATTGCGAAAGTTGTGATTGGACGCCGACTAAGGAATTCGCAAACCTGCGATCACCAAGTGCTTCTATCGTGGCCTCGATCCAGCGCAGTAAATCGCTGGTGAGGCTCTCGTATTCGTGTATCATACGATCGTTCTCCATTGCGATACCGACCACTTTGCCAATTCTCTTACCTTGCACAGTCTCCTGTTTCATCTTTGAGAAATAATGATAATACGTAACGACGTAAGTTATGATGGACTTTTCGTCCGGATGATCGACGAAGATATCCTCGGCATCCAGTAGTTTCGTGAGACCGAGTTTGTCCTCCGCAACGTTGAAGGCATTATTGAGATTATAGATCGCGTTCGATTTGGAAAGTTTTTCGAACTGGATCAGATCTGGACGGTGCTTATGTATGATCGCATTGAACGCCAAACCGTCTCGCCACGATGTCGTGAAATTTCTTACGTTTACATTATGATAACCCGCGGTCTTCATCTGACACCATAATAATAATGCGTCCTTGGCGGACTTGGTCTCCTGATTATCCGTCTCTTCGATCGTAATATCTTGAATCTGGAATCGCAAGATTATCGTCCAAATGAGACCCAGGCTCAGACGTGGATTCCCGTCGACAATATCGTGGGATCCCATATTCTCCAAATGTACCCTCTGCTCACGCAGGAATTGCAGCGCCTTCTCCACATTCTCCAGGCAATGGATGCGCATCTTGCCTTTGGTAGGACGTGGCAAACGTTCACCCGATAAGATCTCTAACAGCCTTATCAACATCTTGCCATCTCGCAGATCGACGTATAAATCGCCGATTCGGCACGAACATCGGACTAAGTGAGAGTTGACCCATTTCTGGAAAGTCTTCTTTTGCACTAATTCACGCTCACCTGGCAAAGAAGATCGCACAATAATGATCTTAGTGAATAGTCAATGAATATATATTAAGGCTGTATAACTTTTAACGACAGCATTGTTGTTGCATAGCTTTTTTTACTATGTATAAAACCTGCGGAATAACAATGTAGTGACATCATTATTGTCGTTATGAATTACAGGAATATAATATATGCTAACTTTAAATGTATCTAAATTATTTAGTATGACATCGTTCAAAAATAATTAAATAAAATTTAGATAGGTTTTAAATGATTAATATAAAGTTTCTTTACCTCGAAGATCAAACACAATTTTATCATAATTCATTCTTAGTTAATAATTCAATATTTATTATATTTTCACTTACACAACGATCAATATTATTCTAATCGATTCAATTATGTATACTTAATAAGTTTAACTTTTTATTCAATATATAGATATTCAATGATAGCTATACACATATCTCGACTACGTTCAATCTAAGAAACAACTGTTACAAACTCATGAAGTTATCGAACTTTTAAAACAATTATCTCAAAAGGATGTGGTTCTTTGATAATCCCAACCATACAATTTTCTAAAAACAATTCATAGTACCCCAGTAGCATCGTCATTCATTATTATTATTATTATTATTACAGAATAGTATTATGAAATGAGCTTTAAGTATCAATGAAAACAAATCATACTATTGAATAAAAATAATAATTGTAAAAGGCATAAGAAATAACTGTGATAAATATATAAATTTCATTTATATATATAAATATATATAAATGAAACAATTGAAAAGGAAAATCGATAGAGGTCCCGTACCAGCTAGCGCCTTGATACGTGAGCGTTCGAAAAGTCTCGAACTCGAGTTTCCTCCGTCGTATTCGTACTCGTCGACAATCTCTTGTTGAAGCGTGGGGTCCCAACCCCCGCGCACCACCGAGATGTCGGTCGTCATTTTGTCAATCAGACCAACAGCTCACTTCTGCCGAACCCTTAAAAAGGGTGCACCTAAAAATGATACCGTAAATTTATTAACGCGTGGAAGAGAAGAGAAATTTTTGAAAATGATAATTTATATATTCTCCATTT